ACCAGCGGGACCCCAAAGTGAGCCCCACACGCCCCGGGAACCGTGTGTTCCTGGGGCTCGCCAGTGCCGGGAATGAGACGCGCTCCCCGGCAGGAAGCAGGCCAGAGCAGAAGCGTGGGCTGCCGATCATCGGAGGAGCATATGCCCGCCACGGCTGGAACCGCGGCATGCTCGTTTTTCCCAACCCCCGCCCCCTCCCCGCACTTAATATTTTGCATGTTCCCCTGTCAAATGCTGCAAGCATCCTCATTGCCATGTTGCACAAGCCCCCGAGATATTTTCTGTCTCGTGTCTTCTCCCACAGAGCGGCTGTCTTCTGAGCCAGGAATGGACCGAGCGAGAAAGTCTTGCAAGTCCTCCAGCCACTCACACATCCAGCACCGTTGCCTGCACAGAGCAGCATTCGGGCCCAGTTCACCCGGCAGACGCCCACATTATGCAATGAGCCAGAGCGCAATCAGCAGGGCGTGCGAGGTGCACGGCTGGACGGGGCATCCTGGGCTTCCGGGGGAGCCCTGGGGGCTGGGAGCAGGCACAGCCAGGCCACACCTGCCCCAGGGACCGCACCTGCAGGAGACTCACATTCAAGGTGGAAGTGAGGGGCCAGCACCGTGGCATAGTGGGCCTGGCCTCCACCTGCAGTGCTGGCATCCTATATGGGTGCTGGTTGGAGTCCCGGCTGCTCCTCTTCCGACCCAGCTCTCTGCTGTGGCCTGGGAGAGCAGTAGAAACGGCCCAAGCTCTTGGGCCCCTGCACATGCACCGGAGACCAGAAAGAAGCTGCTGGCTCCCGGCTTCGGATCAGTGCAGCTCCGGCCGTTGTGGCCATGTGGGGAGTGAACCAGCGGATGGAAGACTCTCTCTCTCTGCCTCTCTGTAATTCTGCCTTTCACATTAAATGAATCTTTAAAAAAAAAAAAAAGGAGGAAGTGAGCCCCTGAAGCTGCAGGGTACCCCTGGTTCTCCCCATCCCCTCTGCCTCCACACCCACCCGGCCTCCCCACCCCGTCCTGCACCCGCAGCCGGCCGGGGCGTCTTCCTGAGGTCCACAGCCACCTTCTGATTCAGTGTCGCCTACAGGAAGACCTGAGCAGAGCAGAGAAGCCCCTGAAGCCCCTCCCCCCCTTGTCCAGACCTAACCAAGTGCCCTCCCGGCGCTCACTGTCCGTCCACACATGCACACACACACACGTGCACAGGCCCTGGGCACCCACCTCTGTCCCTGTCCGCTCTCCTGTCTCTTGGACAAGCAGCCCAGAGCCTGCAGGTGTGGGGTCCTGTCAGCTTCACCCTACACCTAAAAACTCCAGAGCCCACGATCACCAGCTCCTTGCCCTGGCTTCTCTCCCCTCCTGTGCGGGATCCGTCCAGGGTGACTAAAATCCAGGAAGACTGAGTCAGACCTGTGGGTGTGGCCAGAGAATCTGGCTGCTGCTTTTTTTAAGATTTATTTGTGGATTTGAAAGGCAGAGTGATAGAGAGGAAGAGACAAAGAGAGAGAGAGAGGAGTGGGGTGGGGAGGCAGATCTTCCATCCAAGGGTTCACTCCCCAAACAGCCGCAGCAGCCAGGGCTGGGCCAGGCTGAAGCCAGGAGCCAGGAACTCCGCTGCGTCTCCCACAGGGGTGGCAGGGACCTGAGTATGCGAAGCGTCCCCGGCCGCCTCCAAGGTGCATTAGCAGGGAGCTGGATCCCAACGGAGTGGCCGGGCCTGAAGCAGGGCTCCCTCGGACGTGGGGTGCCAGCATGCCGAGTGAGGACTCCGCACGCGGTGCAGCGGCGCCGTCCCCAGGACCCAGGCTTGTTGAGCGCCTTCTCGTTGGTTTGCGTAGACACTGGAGGTAGAAACCCACGAGCGGCAGGCGCCCTGGTGCCTAGGTTTAGGCACTCCTTTCCCACAGCCCAGCCTCCACGTCTGTCAGCATCACTGCCGGGATTTCTCACACCGCTCAGGACAGTGTGCGTTCCAGACCTTTCTAGAAGCAAGCCAGGCCCTCTGTCGGGTTCACTCCTCTTCCAAGAAGACCTGTGAGTCTGGCTACGGCGGAGCGTGTTGGCCTTCGGATGGCGCAACCACCAGCTGACTCCCAAGTGGCTCCCGCCCAAGAGCCAGGCGGCCGAGCCCCGAATCGGGAGAGGCAGCAGTGGTGGGTGAGTGCTGTTGGTTCACACCACCGGCTGTGGGGGCTTCGCTCAGCGGCGGTAGACAACCAGACCCTCACACCTTATGAATGACTCGCTGAGGCTCCGCCCCGTCCAAAGGGATAAGCCACATCCCCACGCGGAATCTCCTGACCCTGGGCGGCTCCCAGGGAGCAGGTGCGAGGGGGTAGAGACCCCTACTCTGCCGCTTCTTCATTCCACGGCGCGTTTTCCCTTAAAGCACAAGGGTTCTTTCGCCCAGGGAAGTGAAGGAAGGCTCGCCTCTGCACAGTGAGACGCACACAACATCATCATGTTCTGTAATGACTGCTCAGAGAAAAATCATGTTTTCTTCACAAAGAGCCTCCTCGCCCTTTTTCTGTCTCCCAAATCAACCCAAACCGCAAGAATTATGAAAAATACAGCCTCCAACGTGCTATTCAATCTGTCAGATTTGCAGTCCTTCATTATACGCGTAATCACAATAAATAAAACATAAGGCTGAGTGAGTGGAGCAAAGTTCACCACGGAGAGAGGCCTGCAGCCCATCTGCCCGTGAGAACTGCTGGCCACGGTGAAGCGGGGAAGTCACCCGGGAGCAGGGGGTCGGAGGCCCCGCCCAGCCAGGGGACGCCGCGACTCAGAGCCCACCAGAACCAGCGCTGCAAACTCGGGGCCCAAGCTGAGCAAAGTCCTTCCCACACACTTGCTCAAACTTCTCCAAGGCAACAGATTTGCACTTGCTTTTAAGAATTCTTTTCACTCAGAGAAAGAAAGAGTTTACCGTGCCTGAGCTCTTGAATGCCAGGCAGCGTGGCAGTCACGTGGCAAACCGCATCCCCACGCTGCCTGACAACCCCGAGGGATGGGCACGGCCCTGGTGGCCGGAGTGTGGGCTGCGGAATCCAGACAGAACCGGATCTGAAGCCCCATCCGTTGCAGCATGAACTCAATGCCCCCTCAGCAAATGCTGCCGGATGACAAAATGTCTCGCTCTCGCGATCTCCCTCTCCTCTGCCTTCCCACCGTCACACATCCCAATCCGTAAGATGGGGGAGGGGCAGGAGAGGCACAGGGACGAAGACACCACTTGGAACGCCGCCGGCATCGCACAGCGGAGCAGCTGAGGCCAAGCCCCGCCTCCACTCCCTGGAGGCAGCAGGTCGTGGCCCAAGTACGTGGGTCCCTGCCACCCACACGGGAGACCCAGATGGAGTTCCCAGCTCCTGGCACTGGCCTGGCCCAGCCCCAACTGTTTCAAGTCTTCAGAGAGTGAACCAGCGAATGGAAGGTGTGTATGTGTGTGTGTGTGTGTGTGTTTGCCTTTCAAACAACTATAAATAAGTAAATGCCATGAAGGGTTTAGCCCTAATCAGACTGAGCTCACAGTTCCCAAGGGGGAGCCAAGCCAAGCTTATGTCTTCTAGGCTGATGGACCCTCACACGGCCAAGCAGCATTCCTGTCACTGTGCTCAGAACACAACCAAGCCTCGTGCCCCAATTCCCCAGGCCTGGGGAAGACACACAGACCTCCCTCCTGGGGAGGGGTGGGCCTCCAGGGACCGGGCCCCAGCAGGAAGTCGTCAGAGCAGCTCCAGGGGCCCACAGAGGAGCTGGGTGTGGTGCCGGGCCATCGAAGGCTCTGGGGCGGCCAGCAGCAGCCAGGATGCAGAGCACAACCTGGCCCTGGACAGCTCTGGGCCCTCGCTGCGTTCTCGCCAAGAGCACGAGGTTTTAGGGGACAGGCTGCCCCAGCCGGGCACCTGCCGTTCCCTCCCAGTGACATCACTGATCAGTGAACACTAACGGGCACGTTGCAGCTCCAGCCCACTCCTGCACAGCGCCTCCAACGACTGCCCTAGAACAAGTCGCATCACAGAGCTTGTAACTCAGGGCCCCCAGCTCCGATGGGCTCACGGAGAGTGGACATCAGCAGGGGCCATCTGCTGGGAGGGCCACACCAAAGGAGATCTTGTCTAGGAGCCCAAGGCAAACACCCACCACGTACCCCACAGTGCCAGGCACAAGGCACCCTGTCAGTACTTGTGGGAAGAACGAATGCAGGGAGGAAGGCGCTGAGTGTCCCGCCAGGGACTTTCATGCACTGCTCCTCCTTTGATAAAGAAACAGCGCTCGGTTCGCTGAGCCTGATTCCCGGTCTACACAGTGGCGATCACATGACCTGCCTCACAGTGCTGGAAGGTTAGGAGACCAGTCCTGGGTCTATGCGTCCACAGCAATCGGTATAATTCAGTCAAGTTCAGCAAAGACTAACTCCCCATCGGCGTGACCACTTGCTACCATTCGTTCAGCCTCAGCGCTGTGGCTTGCTGGTCTCGCTGATCTTCGTGACACTCCTTTTGTTAGACGTGGGATTTCCCTGCTCCACCATATTTACAAGAGCTGCAGAAGGAAGAAGCCTGACACAGTTAACACCGTACCTTCCACTCTACAGGAACACCAGACCCACTGCTCCGAGGGGCCCTCCCTGTCCAGACGAGGCCGTCCTGAGCGACAAGCCCCTCTGACACATAGCTGGCTGGCGGCACAGGGACCTGCCCAGGCTCTGTGTCTTCGCTCAGATGGGAGCTGGAGCTGGGGGGAGCTGGCAGCGTAGCAGCAGAGGGGCCCTGCGTGCCCTGAGCACGCACACCAGCCTGTGCTGTAATTGCAATTCCAAGCCTAGAGCCAGCGCGAGGTGGAGCAGCTAAGCCTGGAGCCCCTCGCAGACTGGGGGTGCTCGAAGCTGGCTGGAGCCACTGACTCGCAGCAGAGCCAGACAGGAACTCTGAAGGAAAGCATCCCCCACGGAGGCCCACAGGACGCCTGCAGATTAAAGAAAGCCAGCAATGAACTCACCGGGTAGATCACAGACAGGAGGAGGCGAGGATCATGAGAGGCCGTGGATAAGAACAACAAAGATCTGCACAAGGTCAGTGCAGTGTGTCCTGTAAACAGCAACGCATGGGCGTCTAAAGGGCGCGCGGGGCGTGCAAAGAGGCATCGGACTCGCCAAGACGGCCGATCCACAGCAGGCTCTCGGGAGCGACCGAGCTGCGAAGAATAATCAATGGGAATTGTGATATTTTTTTAATTCAGTGGTTGACAAGTAGATTGAACACAACTGAAAATAATATGTATGAACCTGAGCATAGCATCTGATTACACGACCCAGAATCCAGTGTCAGGAGACAAGGAGAGCGTGAGAGAGTAGAGGCCAGAATGGGAAGCTGTGACGTGTGCCAAGCAGAGTCCCCGAAGGAGAGTGCAGACGATACCGGGAGAGAGGCAGTGGCTGAGAACTTTCCAGATCAGATAGGAGACGAATTCAAGGTTCTGGAGTCGCAGCAAAGCCCTGGAAGGGTGGGATGGTCTAGACCCTCTCAGGCATCCGCAGTGAATCCCGAAAGCATCAAGGACGCGCTAAGATTTCCGAGTGGCCAGACGGACAGAAGAGATGGCCTTGCAGGCAGTGGCAAGGCTGCCAGCAAACTCCCGCACCAGCAACAGCAGCCACAAGACGGGCGGCGCGGTGCAGAGCGTGCAGGTGCCATCACCACCAACCCAGGGCTGTGTGCGCCACAGAACTGCAGTGCCCGGGCAGAAGTCAGACGAAGATGTGCTCAGACAGCGGCCTTGGCGGTGAAGGAGCAGGGAACGAAGTAACCACAGAACAGTGTGCGGGGCAAGAAGCAGTGGCGAGGGACTGGGGTGTGGCGCAGGGGGCTGAGCCGCCGCCCCAGCTGCCCCACTTCCTATCCAGCTCCCTGCTGTGGCCTGGAAAAGCAAGAGGAGATGGCCCAAGTCCTTGGGCCCCTGCACCCATGTGGGAGACCCTGAAGAAGCTCCTGGCTTCAGATCAGTGCAGCTCTTGCTGTTGCAGCCATCTCGGGAGTGAACCAGTGGATCGAAGACTTTTCTGTCTCTCCCTCTCTCTGTAGCTCTACCTCTCAAATAAATAAAGCCTTTAAAAAATTCAATAGTGAGCAAAGAAGGGGATGAATATATATCCATATGTGAACCAACAAAATAATTATAGATAAAAGAATCTAAAATAATATGTATTTACATATACTAAACCAGCTAACTGTATATAAAATAAGAAATAATGTGTACTTACATATGAACATATTTATTTATACAAAAAGCAAAATAAGTATAGCTAAAATAACCAGAATAATATGGATTGACATTTTAGTGTCTTCATATGTACAAATCAACTAAATAATTGTATATAAAATAAGAAATAATGTGTATTTACATATGAATACATTTACATATATAAAACCAAATAATTGCATATAAAATAAAAATAGTATATATTTAAATGTATTAAACCAACTAAATAAACATGCATAAAATAATAAAATGTAACTTATAAGGTCATAGAAAAATAAAGGAATTAAAATATTAGGCAATGGGCCGGTGCCGTGGCTCACTTGGCTAATCCTCCACCTACGGTGCCGGCATCCCATATGAGCACCGGGTTCTAGTCCCGGTTGCTCCTCTTCCAGTCCAGCTCTCTGCTGTGGCCCCAGGAGGGCAGTGGAGGATGGCCCAAGTGCTTGGGCCTCTGCACCCGCATGGGAGACCAGGAGGAAGCACCAGGCTCCTGGCTCCTGGCTCCGGATCGATGCAGCGCGCCGGCCGTAACAACCATTTGAGGGATGAACCAACAGAAGGAAGACCTTTCTCTCTGTCTCTCTCTCTCTCACTGTCTAACTCTGCCTGTCAAATAAATTAAAAAAAAAAAATTAGGCAGCAATAACATGTAAGGGGGGAGTGGTGATCTGATGATTTGATCTGTGGTGTCCTAAGTTTCTTTTATTATGCAAAGGGAATTAAGAAATCAATTAATTTAGTATGTTATTAAATTAAAGATGCATGATAAAGTGGGAAAATCTGAAAAAAATAGGAAAAAAGATGAAATTTCAAAATAGTAGAGGGAGAATCAAAATAAAATAAGGGAAAAGGTGAATTAAACAACAATAATAATATGACTGAAAGAGAGAGACGTTATGGGGACCTCTCACAGGAGCTCCAGGTGCTGGAGGTGTCAGACGCAGACTCTCGGGTTAACCAGCTCCATGCGTCCCAGCAGACAAAGGGCTGAGAATTACCCCAGAGCCAGAAGCTACTGAGGGGAATCAAGTATGAAGTTCTAGGGCTGAAATGGAATGACTGAAATTACAGCTTGTGTGGATGGGTTTGATGACAAATAGGACACAGCTGAAGACACAATTAGTAGAGTGAAAGGTAGATCAGAAGGAATTATCTGGAATGATGCAGAGAGGCGGGGGTTGAGAACAGAGGAGAAACAGAAGAAAGACAATGGATGGGGCAGGCATTGGGCACAGCTCTGAAGACGCCACTTCCTCTCCCACTTCCTGCACTGGAGTTCACGTTCAGCTCCCAAGGCCAGCCCTGGCTCCAGCTTCCTGCCAGTGTGTCCTCTGGCACAGCCCCTCACCATGACAGCCACGCACTGGAGAGACTGAGGTCCCCGCTCCCCGCTTCAGGCTGCCCAAGGCCCTGCTGTTGCAGCCATCTGGGGAGAGAACCAGCAAATAGAAGACCTCTGCCTGTGTCTCTCTCTCACTTGCTCTCTCTGCCTTTCAAATAAATAAATAGATGTTTTAAATTGTACTCAAAAGGAATCAGAAATGAAGCAAAAACAAAATACATTTTTTTAAAAAAAAAGCAATATGAGGTATCATGAAACATCTAACATGTGAAAATGAAGACTCAAAAGAAGAGAAAGAAACAGGCAGAAGAAGCTACACCCAGATAGAGAATGTCTAAGAATCCTCAGGGGCTAGGAAATTTTCTTTTAGGAGATCCAAGAAGCACTATGACATTTCCAAGAAATCCAACTACACAGGCGCAGGGTCTCAGTCCACCCGCACAAGGAGGCACTGGGTCCTAGGAAAGGCAAGTGTGCCGCTCGCCCATGCCCCAGCCTCCTGATCCCGGAGACAATCAGAGGCAGCGGGAGTCAAGTCTAGCAAGAACTCGTTTATTTCACGCGTAACAGACCCTTTTATAGCACAAAACTGCAGAGTCATTGGGGCAGGGCTAAGGACCAACCAGTCACTGAAAAGATCATTTTACGGGATGATTTCTATAGGACTAGCCATATGTCTATACACACGTCATCAGCTGTCGCCATTTCTCCTGATGTTGCGTAGCCAGTTAGTTTTAGTGGTAAACAACTTTGAGTTCCACCCACCTTGCTTCCTCTGGGCGCCATCTTTGAATTGCTTCGTGTAACTAATTTCCCCACACACAGGGGGCCACATGTACGGACATTGTAGTGAAACTGTGGAAACCAAAGACAAAGTCTTAGGAGAGGGAAAAAAAGACTTTACCTGCAAAACAGCAAAATAATCCTGACATCCAACATCTGTGGAAACAACGAGAGGGAGGCAACGCAATGCTGTCTACAGAGTCCTGGAGAGAAACTTCGCCGAGCCGCACTCCCTAGCAAGAGTGTCCTTCGACGCAGGGGAAATCCGGTATTCCAGTCTGGGAGGAAGGTTCTCAGGCTGAGAGAATCCACACGGGCAGACCCACCCACACTAGAAGAGATACTGAGAGCTTCTTCAGAGAGAAGCTTGGAGGGCACAAAGAAATGAAAATGGACAGAAGGGTCAGTTTGTAGAACAATGAGCATCAGCGTATGAAAATCAATGATCTGGGGAGAGGGTATGTGCCATAGAGAGAAATAAAATGCAAAAACTTATAACACACCAGGGCGAAAGGAGTGATTGAACTTAAAGTACTCTAGGATCCTTCCGTTGTCCAGGAAATGGGGGAAGTACTATTTAAAGTCAATCAATCAATCAATCAAAGATGCCAGCTGTGACTGCTGGGACAGCAGTTCACGAAATGTGGTTTTCAGACGTCTGGAAGTTCTCATGGGACAATTTTCATACCAAAACGATGGCATTACTTGCCTCTTTTTACTCTGTCAACATGGGCACAGATGGTGCAAAACCCACCGTGGCCCAATCCTTACCCCAAGTCGCTGGGGCAAGGGGTCCAGCACGCCCTTGCAGAACAGAGAACGAAAGAAATAAACGCAGGAGACAATTTCACTAGACTGTCTTTAAAAGAACAGGCAAAGAGGATTAATTCTTGCTGAATTATGAGCCTGGACTGCAGAGTTTTAAAACTTCTGTGTGACAAGCTGGGATGGAGGCGTGAAGCCCAGGGCAGCACGCTCGAACAACACACCTGTGCTAGTGCAGGGCGCATGAGCCGCTTCCCCACCAGCAGCTGCTCTCCCGGAGACTGGCAGGCCAGCTGTGGCCCCTCCGACCTGGCCGCGTCCCACCCATCTGCTCACAAATGAACAAAGTGAATGCGTCACTTGAAGGACCCTGTGCTACCAGTGATCCAATCTGAGTTTTCTTTTTTTTTTTTTAAGATTTATTTTATTTTATTTGAAAGTCAGAGTTACACAGAGAGAGGAGAGGCAGAGACAGAGAGAGGTCTTCCATCCAATGGTTCATTCCCCAATTTGGCCACAACAGCCGAAGCTGAGCCGATCCGAAGCCAGGAGCTTCTTCTGGGTCTCCCACAGGGGTGCTGGGGTCCAAGGACTTGGGCTATTTTCTACTGCCTTCCCAAGCCATAGCAGAGAGCTGGATTGGAAGTGGAGCAGCTGGGGCTCGAACCGGTGCCCATATGGGATGCCAGCACCGCAGGTGGAGACAGCCTACTTACATCACAGCGCCAGCCCCACAAACCCGGATTCTTGAAGATGTGCCCCGGCCATTGTGAGTTGAGAGCTCTCCGACATTTAAAAACCCTTTTGATAAAATCGGTGGCATAAACAAATGTAGTTTTTTGATATTACACAGTCAAACATGTCAACATTTGGGAGACCCACACAACCTGGTGAAGCAGTATATTCCGACTGACCAACAAACTGTGCTGCGAAGTGATGTACAAGTGACAAACCCGCTCAAACTGCATGAGACGGACGGATGTCAATGAAGCAGAAACAGCAGTTAATGATAACATCGAAGATTCACCTTGTGACTGACCTCAAGAAACTATCACCTGTGAAGTGTGGCATACAGCCAAGGAAGACGTCCACAGTACTCTGAGAAGGTTAGAATATCCCTCTTCTCCCGACAACACATCTGAAGGAGGCCGGATTTTCTTCTTGTATTTCAACCCAAACAACACATCACACCAAGAATTCTGGGGCAGATCTGAGGGCAGAGCTGTGTTTTATGAAGCTCTGTATCCAAGTGGGCCAGGACAGATAGATTTAGACAGAGAGAGAGAGAGAGAGAGAGACATATAGAAAGGTCTTCCTTCCGTTGGTTCACCACCTAAATGGCCACTACAGCTGGAGCTATGCCAGTCCAAAGCCAGGAGCCAGGTGTTTCCTCCTGGTCTCCCATGGGGTGCAGGGCCCAAGCACTTGGGCCATCCTCCACTGCCTTCCCGGTCACAGCAGAGAGCTGGACTGGAAGAGGAGCAACCGGGACAGAATCCAGCACCCTGACTGGGACTAGAACCCGGTGCCCATATGGCATGCTGGAGCCGCAGGCAGAGGATTAACCAAGTGAGCCACAGGCCGGCCACAATCTCCTTCACTCTTGTGCTTTAGAAAATAAAGTCACTTTCTACGGAAAAACAAGAGAGGTTATTTTAATAACTAGGATCTTGCTGCTCTTATATGAATTAATAAACATGTTCATTGTGTCTCAGTTTTAACCCTTAATACTATCCAGCATTGGCAGGGTAGCCTGGATGGATAAAATCTGTCCAGAATTCTGAAGTTAAGAGCATAAAGGTATCTTGAGTGCAGAGTCTGGGAACCACAGTTCTAGAAGAATCACTAAGAGACGACCAAGAGAACAGGAAGTGGGGATGGGAGAGAAGATTACTAAAAACACCCAGTGAATCTAAGAGAGGTCAAGGGGCCGGCATTGTGGCCTAGCAGGTGAAGCCACCGTCTGCAGGGCTGGCATCCCATATGGGTGCCATTTTCAGTCCTGGCTGCCCCACTTCCGATCCAGCTCTCTGCTGTGGCCTAGGAAAGTAGTAGAAGATGGCCCAAGTCCTTGGGCCCCTGCACCCACATGGGAGACCTGGAAGAAGCTCCTGGCTCCTGGCTTTGGATCAGCCCAGCTCCGGCCATTGTGGTCAACTGGGGAGTGAACCAACAGATGGAAGACCTCCCTTCCTCTTTGCCTTTCTGTAACTCTGCCCTTCAAATAAATAAATAAATCTTAAAAGAAAAAAATTGATTCTAAGAGAAGTCAAAAAAGGAGGAAAAAATAACATACTAGACAGAAAAGATAGACTATGTCTGGCATTATGTTAAAAGCAAAAGGACAAAGACTGGGGAAAAAATGTGTATGCTTCTTGCTGGGTGCACCCCGGAAATACAAAGATCCAGAAAGATGGAAAGTGAAAGGATGCAAAGACATCTCAGTGCAGGCAGCCCCCAAGAAGGAGCTGGACCAGCTGCCTGGCCAGCAGACAACACAGGCTTCAAGGAAGAGAATAAGACTAACACCAAGAGGGCCGTTGATAAAATACAAAATCTAACTTGCTGGAATGACATAATAACCCCAAATGTGCATGCATCTAATAACACAGTCCCAAAGTACACAAAGACAAAACTGACCGAACTCAGTAGAGAAACAGACAAAACCACCACCTTGGTGGCAAATTTTAACACGTCTTTATAATTGGCAGAACCGGCCACTTAGCAAGGGTAAGGAAGTCTTCCTTCACATCAGTAACCAAGCTAATCGACATCTGCAGAGCACCGTCCCTGAGAGCTGCGGGGCGCGCGCACACACACACAGCAAGGCACAGCCGCGCACGGCCGGCACGTCGGGAGGTCAAGCCCACACGCAGCCCGTGCTCTCAGCAGCGCAGCACGCACAGAGGCACCAGCCACCGAGCAGAATACTTCATGAAAGTTAAGAATTCAGGAAAGTTGGGAAATTCACTGGATCAACCAGCACAATCCTAGCGGATATTAGAAAATACCAGAACAAAATAGCGAGAGAGCTGCGTTCTGTGATCGTCCTTGGAATCGCACTCAGTCAGTCTTGGAGGGAAATTGGCACTCAAACATGTTTTGGAAAGGAAGAAATGCTGAAATACAAGGATCCAAACGCCCATCTCAACAATCGGGGGAGGGGCTGGAGCTGTGGTACAGCCAGTTAAAGCTGCAGCCTGCACCCCCTACGGGGAGGGTTTGAGCCCCCGCTGCTCCACTTCCAACCCAGCTCCCTGCTAACAGCCTGGGAAAGCAGCAAAAGACGGCCCACGTGCTTAGGTCCGTCACCCACATGGGAAACCTGGATGAAGCTCCCAGCTCCTGGCTTCAGGCTGGCCCAGCCCTGGCTGTTGTAGCCATCTGGGGAGTGAATGAGTGAGTGGAAGTTATTCTCTCTGTCTCTCTCTCTCCCTCTCCTCTCTCTCTCTCTGTAACTCTGCCTTTCAAATGAATACGTCTTTAAGAAAAAAGAAAAAAAGCAATTGGGGTGGAGAAAAATAGCCAATTCAACCTAAAGAAATGGCAGAGGGAGCGGCTGCTGGCGGGTCTGGGTCTGTCCCCTCCCGGAGGCCGCACAGGGACACTGGCCTGGGGAGGTCATCATGGGCTTCCTGGGCGCCAGGCAGCGCAGCCGCGGAGGTGGCCTCCACGAGCGCTGGCTCCCGCTCTGTCTTGCTCTGCTCGTCATATACCTAAAGCTATAACCTGTACCTGCTGGTTACCCAGAGGCTGGAGTCTCTTCACGTGTTGGGAATCTCACGTGGTTCCTCCTCTGTGAATTGTCCGTCCAGATGCTTTGCCCATTGTTCTATTCACTTGCCCTTCTTTCCTTATTTTGATTGTATAATTCTTCCTGAACTCTGGATACAAATCCTTTATTTGTCAGGGATCTTTTTTTTTTTTTTTGAAGATTTATTTATTTATTTGAAAGTCAGACTTACACAAAGGAGAAGGAGAGGCAGAGATAGAGATAGGTCGTCTGTCTGCTGGTTCACTCCCCAATTGGCCACAGTGGCCGGAGCTATGCTGATCCAAAGCCAGGAGCTTCTTCCAGGTCTCCCACGCGGGTTCAGGGGCCCAAGGACTTGGGCCATCTTCTGCTGCTTTCCCAGACCATAGCAGAGAGCTGGATGAGAAGTGGAGCAGCCGAGGCTCAAACTGTCGTCCATATGGGATACCGGCACTGCAGGCAACGGCTTTACCTCCTACACCACAGTGCCAGCCGCAAGGTATCTTGCAAATATAAAAATTTAATGTTAATGTAGTCCAGTGGTATTAATATG